ATAAACAACTTTATAAACAACTCTATTTCTAGTAGTTATGATTCAAGGACAAAACAAATGAAAAATAAATTTTTAAAGTATAATCTTAATAAATATTTAACTTATATAATTTTAGAGATATGAAAAATATTCATAAATCATATAGAAACATTATTTTATGTCTTACTAAAATACTATTAATAGTAATAAACAAATATCAAGCATACTCAATTATCTCTCTCTATATATATTTGAATATATATATATATATATATATATATATATATATTATTATTAACATGTAAAAAAGTTATTTTATATACGTTACGTATTAAAGTACCATTAATTAATGTTATTAAAATAATCTTTTTTGTCTCTTTCATATAGGTTTATTTGAATGAACTTTATTCAAATTTATATGACTCATTTTTTATTTTCATCTCTTAAGTTTTAAGCCAACACTTTACTGTCATAAAAAAAATAGGTAATTATGAAACCATGCCAAGTTTCTCCAAACAAATCATAAGTTGTTTTTAAATATACAAATAGTTACAAAAGTTTACAAATAGTTTTGTAACCTGTAAAACTAAGTCAATACATGTTAATTTATATTTAAATACATTACCAAACCCCTTATACATACAACAAAAGACAAACAACATCAATTAAAAATTTAGTTATGCCAGATATGTTATTATTTAGTGATTCATCGTATATAAAACTAGTAATTAATTTCATATATGTATAAATTTACTTCCTTTAAAATTTGAACGATACAACATCGTCTTCATCTAAGAACAAATCATGGCCAAGATCAAAGCATTATCTTTTTGTTATATGTATCCATTTTTTATTATCAATGTTCTATTACTTTACCTTTTCATTTCCATGTTATCAAATTCACAGTTCTCATTATATTTTAAGTTATCTACATGATTATCAAAAGATTGATCCTATATACACATATTTTCATGGCTAATGGCAACAATTTATGTGTAGGTTAATATGCGGAGTATCTCTAAAGTAGCTTTGATTTTATTATCAATAATGATGTTGCTTTCTGACACAACCCACTCAGTTGTTTTAGACTCTAGTGAAAATCATATAAAGTCAATTACTTTTTTTCTCTGAAAAATTTGAAGTGGGACCAGGAAAAATTGCGGTGAAAACATTATTAGAGATTGACTTTCCAAAGGGTCATATTGGGGTCAAGAGTTTTGATGTTGAAGTACTTGATGAAGTTGGTAATTCAGTACCTTTGTATGAAACTTACCTTCATCATTGGTTTGATGTAAAATATATTGAAAACATTACCATGTCACACAACATTAAACAATCTCATGACCTTCGCAATGGTATCGAATTTGAAAGAAATGATGGTGCATGCCAAGGTTTTTTGCTTCCACATTATTGGGGCTTGGGAGGAGAATCACGAGGAACACAATCAAATCTTACAGAAACTTTTGCAGTTGAATTAGGTAATGCTACAAAAATAAAGAGTGGGTTTAAAGAAAAATGGTTGTTTAGCATAATGGTTATTGATACACGTTGAACACATGATAGAAAAGGTTGTACAGAGTGTAGGTGTAAGCTTATGAATCTCCCAAAGGACTTTTACAATGTTACGACGGGCATTAATGGTCAATTGTTGTCTAAAAATTATAAAGGAAGACTCTTTTGTTGTCAAGATAAGGTACAATGCAAATTAAGAAATGGTTTTCGTGGCCCAACAAGAAAGCTTTCCCTAAGATACAAAGTAAGGTGGGTTGATTGGGATGAACACCAAATGCCTCTTAAGTTCTACATACTTGATTCAACTGATCGTGTGAGATCAAATGGTTCTACACCAATTCATGATTATCAAGTAGATGATTTATTCAATACATACTATACTTTACAGATTATTAGCAAACTTTTGAAACTAATTTATTTTCTAAACAAAAATATCAGGGTATTAATTGATTTTTTCATCCGTATGTGAGTAAAATAAATTCCTCAATTTTCTATAGGTAGAGTATACGATCCCGAGAAATCATGACAATGACTTCCCTCATGTTAAGAAAGCAAACATCCCAATGATAAAAGGTGGTTATCTTATATATGGCACTGCTCATATGCACACCGATATTGTCAATGTCACTCTATATGGACACGTAACATTTGATATTTGTTGTTCTCAAATACAAGCTTTATCTTGTAGATAAACTTACGTTAAATTTTGCCTAATTCATATATTCATCACGAATAAATTTTGTTGATACCTATATATCTCTATAAGAAATTAAATAGTTTACTGAATAATATATATTTTTATGATTATGCTTAACTTAGGATGGTTTATGCACTTCAAATCCGAAATATGGAACTGGAAAAGAAGCAGGAAATGAAAAGGGTTACCTAGTTGGAATGTCAGTTTGTTATCCAAAATCCGGTTCCATCAAAATCGCAGATGGAGAAATTCTAACACTAGAATCCATATATGAAAACAAGTTTCGTACTGGAGCAATAGGGCATTTCTATATTTACTTGGCAGAACAAATACCAAACAAGTACTTGAAAGAAATTTGATGTGAAACTAATTACTTATCATTATGTAATAACTTATATAATTAGTAGTATAATTGGAATACATCAATACCAATTCTAGATCATCATCACTATGTGTATTAATCTTGTTTTATTTTTAATCCACTAGTTGTGTTATGTTTTCACTATTGTGTTCTCTTGATGGATTATATGGTACATATGCAATATTTTTATGTTAATTGAGCTTATAAATTAAAAATAAATATTTTTGTGAACAAAGTGTCAATCTAAATCTATTAATAATACAAGACTATGTAGAGTTAATTGCAAATCACACTAAAGTGAAGAGGAAGAAAAAAAAATAAATACAAAACTGGACATGAATAAATTTTCTTGTATTATGCAAGTTATTGTTCTTTTACATCTATATAGAGTTTCATATAATTAACTTTTGTAAAAGGAATCAAAATATCTAGGATGATTATTCATATAGATAAACTTATGTTAAATCTTGTGCACTTCTTGTATTCATTAGTAATACATGTTTTAATAAATTCTATATCCTTCTAAAAAATTAACTATCTTAAAATTAAGTTTTGCATACTTAATTTAGGGGATAGTTGTAATACACAAATATCAATTCTGAGTTATTACTATTTGTATTAATGTTGTTTTACTATTAACCAACAACTTAGTTTATGATGGTGTTATAGTGTTTGGTTGATGCATTGTTTGGAATTTATAAATATTGTTATGCTAATAATACACAAAGAAAAATGTAGCCTACTAATTTAACTTATAATTTAAAAGATGTTGTGAACCATGATCAAATTTGAATTTGACAACAATAAAAGGACTTGTGAGACTGAATTGCAAATCCCACAAAAATGACCATGAAGAAAAAAACTAAATAAAAATTTGAAAAGGAATAAACCATCATCTTTTATTACACAAGTTAAATATTTTTTCTTTACTCCTGTTTAAATAAATACATTTTTTTCTTAATAATTTTAGTGTACAATAATATTGTAATTGATTTATATAAGATATTGAATAATTCAATTTCATATAAAAAATTGTAATGTCGCAATACCTTCTATTGTTTATCTTATGTATTGAAACTACTTATGAATATTCTTACAACATGGATAAGTTAAAATCCTTTGTAAATAAACTAATCAAGTTACTACTATTAACTTGAATAATCAAGTAGTCCTTATAAAATTTCCTGTCATATATTTTGAATTTGAATTATAAAATCTTAATTAAAATTATTTATTTTTTCAATTTGTGAAATATATTATTTAAATCATATATCTCTTATAAACCATAAAACGCTAATTTGCGAAAGAGTTTCAAACATGCTAATTTGTGCAATTCATTTAAATTTATATTTTAGAAATAAAATTTATTTACATTAATAAGTTCGTACTTAACTTTATTTAGATTTTACTTTAAATTGATTTTTTTTATTTATATTTATATTTTAAATACTTCTTTTTAAATAATTTTATTTAAAAGTTAAAAAATAAAATACGTAAGTATCTATAGATACCGGAAATGATTATAATAATGTCAATTTAACATACTACAGATTGAATTTTTTTCAACAGGGGATGGATATTAGGTAGACACCGAGTGTACCAAACTCAATTCGCTGTTATTTAATGAGAGACTAACTCCTCTCACTCACAATAACATGCCTCCTTTATTCAATATTATATCTATGTCATTCTAAATGTTTTTATAATAATATATTAAAAGAATCTTTCATTTGATGTATGTAATTCTTTTTTTCCAAAATTACCTATCAGTATAAATATTTCCTTTATATAAAATATATATACGAGTGTTTCATTCAATTTTTATTTTTTTTTTATTTTTTCACATTCAACAAACTAAACGTAATTTAAAATGTATTCAGAGAATTATTTTTTTATATCATTTTAATTACAATATCTTTTAAAATTTTAGAAAAATGTGGAGGTGACAAAGTGTTTTTTCTAATAATAAATAATAAAGTAAATTGTAGTGATTTATGCATTATTAGTTTCAATAGAAAAGTAAAAAAATACTCAAGAAATATCTTGGAATAATAATATGCATGTTTGTTATCTATGATGAACATGCATTACTCCTGTATGTTTGTGATCTATGTTGATGGACATACATTTAAAAGATTAACCCATGTTTTCTTCTTAATTTAAAAGAAAAAACTTAAAATGAAAGGAGAAAAAGGACTATTCACTTGGAGGTGTGATAAATAAAATTAAGCTATGAGTTTGGAATGTTTCTTTTGGTTAGAGATTTGAAACATAATATTAATATTTTTGTACTGAGAATGATTTTTGTCAGTATGTACAGCATGTGTGGAGATACTTTCTGGTTTTCTATGAATTATTATTTATTTGCTCTTATTTAGATAAACTTTATTGCAAAAATTGTTTCACTACTTCTTTTGTTTCTCTTATTGGCGCCATATTTACCAATTTGGAAACTCCACTCTGATACTCTTCCTATTCTCAATCTGTTTGCTTTCCAACCATGGTTCCTTCTTCCAACTCATTCTTTCTCTCCTTCACATTCGCATTATCACTTAGTGGGCAATAGATTGATCTTGGTGATCTCCAGAGAGCAAATAGTTCATTTGGGTTTTGGCGTTCCTGCGTCCTTTGAGAATACAAGAAAAAAGTGTTCCTTTGTTTTGTTTCGTTTTTTTTTGTTGTTGTTTGAAAATGTATCAGGCTGTTGCTCGCCGGACTCGAAGCAAGAAACCTTGGGTGGTCGGTGGTGGTTTGACAATGGGTCGGAAAAGAAGAAAGGTGGATGAAGAAGATGATGATGAAGTGATTTGCTTGGGAGAAAATTTGGAAGGGGAAGGGGCTGCAAGAGAGAAATTTGCATCTGCGTCTGGGGCTTCATGTTCATCACCAGATGATATGAAGAATGGTTTCGCGTATTTGGGAGAGACTGAGGATGATCCTGATCCTGATCCTGAAGAGGTGGTTGACCTCGAAGGCCATGATGGGGCTGAACTGAGGATTGATGAGTGTTACGAAACCAAGGGTTTTCAGGTTAAGGAGGAAGAGAGGGATGAGGAGGGTGAAGGTTGTTCTGTAGCAGCTGTGAGAGCTGATAAAGGTGAGAGCTTTGATGATGATGAATACGGTACTAAACCTGAAAAGCCGGTTGTTTTGTTGCCCGATTCATTTAGGGGTGGACGTAGTAGTTCTGATGATGGATATGATTCGTTGTGGTCTTCAACGGAGAGTGAGGATGTTGAGACTAGTGACGATGATTTTAAGGTTGATGAGGATGATGATGATGATGATGTTGAGAGTGAATACTCTAGCAGTGAGGAGAGTGATTCTTCTGAAGATGATGAGAGGAGGGGATACAAGATGGTTAAGGAAAGAGTAAGAAAGGTGGTGAGTGAATCTGAGAGCAGTAGAGTTTGGAGAAGGAAAGGTGAAAGAAAGAATAAGCATGTAGAGAAAGAGTTGGTGGAGAAATGGAATGGTGGTGATTGTGCTAGCGTGGCTTCTAGTAAATCAGAGATCAATAAGGAGGAAACAAAAAGGGCACAAGAGAATAAACAAAGAGCAAACAGAGTAGAGAATGTCAATAATGCTGATCCTGAAGTTTTGAGTGATCAGGGGAAAAGTTCAGGTCTCTATGTGTCTTCTGATGATGATGCACTAGAGGATAAGGAGAAAGGAGTGAGGGATCATAAAAGGGTGTTTTTTCAAAACGAGACAAGATATTCAAATGTGATCAATAAGTGTGGGAAAAATAATAAGGTCAAGGCCAATGCTAAAGAAACTGGACATAAAGATGAGCTGCATGAAATGCTGAGGATGTCATCGACAACAAAGAACCACTGTTTTGAATTCTTCAATGAATGCTTTAGGGGCAAGCGTGATTCTGCTAAAGATGTTTCAAGAGATTTGGATAAGAAGGTTGGTGTTGATGAGGGTCAGACTCGGCCATTTGGTTCAAGGGAGACAATTTCTTTAAACTGGAACTCCATGATGAAAGAAAAACCTGTTGAGAAATCTGAGTCACAGCAAGAGTTGGATATGCTGTGGGAAGAAATGGAGATGTTGCTTCAAGCTGAAAAAATTGGAGTCCAGGTAAATTTTAGACCAAACAAAAACTGTAATATAATATTAGTTCTTGTCATTAGATTTTAGGAATTCTTAAATTTGAAGTTACACACTAACTTTGTATAATCGGCAGAGTGATAATATAGAGATAAATGAACCAAGAGAAATCGAAGAAAATCCAGCCATTCGATGCAAACATGACACCATTTTTGATGAGCAGATAGGGATTCACTGTAGATGGTGTGGTTGGATTGAAACTGAAATTAAATATATCACACCGCCATTTGTAAGTTCCTTTGAACTTGGATGATTGTTTGTTGAAAATATTTTCCACTTCTTTTAATGTATTAAATAAATTTTAACTGGCCCATCTAGAGTACTTTCTTTCCACATGTGAACCTAGACATAAAGGATGATATTTTTATTTTCCATTGAACCATGATGCTCAGTATTACTAATTGAGTTTTCTTTCGTATGTAAAAACTGAAACAGTGTTTGACTAGTGTTGGAAGCGTAGGGGTTAGATAAACTACTTCTGCTGTGATTTTATGTTCTGGTATGATGTGAAGTTCTGATGTGTGCGTCGTTGTGTGCATTGCACATAATGCAGATAGATTCTGAGAGATATGGCAGAAGGGTGTCGTCTGGTGGAGGGAACAGCTCGCGACTTGATGGGGTTCTCTTCAGTGAATGTGGTGAAGAGTCGGAAGCAGTTAGGTCTCACAATCATGGCACAGTTTGGGACCTTACTCCAGGCATAAAAGAAAGCTTATTTCCTCACCAACAAGAGGGATTTGAGTTTATTTGGGCAAATTTGGCAGGAACCATTGAACTTTCAAAGTTGAAGATGGTTGATCCTCAGAGTGAGGGTGGGTGCATAGTTTCTCATGCTCCTGGAACTGGAAAGACGAGGTTGACCATGGTGTTTCTGCAGACATATTTGCAGGTGTTTCCTAAGTGTTTACCCATTATCATTGCTCCTGCCAACATATTACTCACTTGGGAAGATGAGCTGAGGAAGTGGAACATAGGAATTCCATTCCACAATTTGAACAATGCTGAATTATCAGGGAAGGAACATGCCATTAGGGAAGTTGATTGGTTATTCAACCAACAGCAAAAAAAGGATGTCATAAGAATGGTGAAGTTGTGTTCTTGGTACAAAGAGAAGAGCATTCTGTTAATCAGCTACAATCTTTATGAAAAGCTAGCCGGGGGAAAGTCTGAAGGAGATGGGGAGAAAGAGAAGAACAATAGAAAGAATGGAAAACAGAAGAAAAATAGAAAGATCGTAAAAGAGAAGAAACGTGTTGAAACTGAATTGGGAAATGTTCTGAGAGACTATCCTGATTTATTAGTTCTTGATGAAGGCCACACACCAAGGAACAAGCGAAGCTGTATTTGGAAGGTTCTCTCAGAGAGTAGAAGTCAGAAGCGGATCCTTCTTTCAGGGACTCCTTTCCAGAACAATTTTCTTGAACTCTACAATATTTTGTGCTTAATGAAACCATCTTTTCCTGACAGCATACCGCAGGAACTCAAGAAGTTCTTGAAAAACAAACTGATACAGGAAACGAAAGCTTCAAAAGACGAGAGTTGGGAACCCATTTCTGCTGGAAATCAAGCCGATGAAAAGATAAACCAGCTAAAGCTGCTGATGAATCCCTTTGTTCATGTTCACAAAGGTAGTATTCTTCAGAAGAATCTTCCTGGTTTAAGAGACTGTGTGCTGGTTTTGAAGCCAGAATGCTTGCAGAAAGACATTCTGGAGAGCATTGATTGTTCTCAAAATGCACTTAACTTCGAGCACAAGTTGGCCTTGGTCTCTGTTCATCCCTCCCTTTTCCTAAACTGTGCTCTGTCAAAGAAAGAAGAATCTGTTATTGATTCGGAGCTGTTGAAAAGGATTAGATTGGACTCTTATCAAGGGGTCAAAACCAAATTTCTGATTGAGTTTGTGAGACTATGTGATGCAGTTAATGAGAAAGTCCTTGTGTTCAGCCAGTTCATTGATACCTTATGCTTGATCAGGGACCAGCTGGAGTCAGCCTTCAACTGGAGTGTGGGAACGGACGTGTTGTATATGCATGGAAAGCTTGATCAAAAGCAAAAGCAATTTCTCATTCACAATTTCAATGATGCAAATAGCCAGGCAAAGGTGTTGCTAGCTTCTATAAAAGCATCTTCTGAAGGCATTAACCTGGTTGGAGCTTCAAGGGTCGTGCTTGTTGATGTTGTTTGGAATCCCTCAGTGGAAAGGCAAGCTATTTGTAGAGCATATAGACTTGGACAGAAGAGGGTTGTTTATACTTATCATCTTCTTGCACAGGGCACCCCTGAATGTGCAAAATATGATAAACAGTCAGAGAAGGACCGCTTATCTGAACTGGTATTCTCAAGTAGGAATGTTGAAAATGATAAGCTTGAAAATGTTGGAGTGAAGTTTGAGGATAAAGTTCTTGATCTCATGGTTCAGCATAACAGTCTCAAGGACATATTTGGTCAATGTCTGGTTCAACCAAAGGACAGAGATTTGGAAACTTTGGGCCCTTAATGCTCCAAGTGTTGGAATTTTTTCAAGTTATTCTTGGATGATTGGAAAATTGTTTTTGCACAATTTATTTGATACACAAATTTATGACTGCCGCAACTGCTGCCATTAGTTGAAGACGGGAGTTCATGATTTAGTTTATTCTATCATGTTTGTTTCACAGTTTATGGGAATTTGTTGGATTAAATATTTTTTTTTCCATAATTCACGTAACATTAAACATATAGAAATGTTCCCTAAATGTTTTTCTTGTTCGATTATATAATTTTAGTTTTTGATAATTATTGAATTTTCGTTTCAGTTTTTGATAATTGAAGGGTATAATGACATTAGTATTTTCGTTGAGGTTTGCAGAGTACAACACCCCAGAACACTTTCAGCAATTCTTTTGTTCATGTTTCTTTTCCGATGCCAAATCTTCTTTTAATTCGGCAATGAATTGTTAAGTGTCATTGAGTTGACTACATGTTTGATTCCAAGACTGTGATAGAATTCGATGAATTTTATGTCTTTCATTGTCGGGTTGTTATTCTAGCGAGGGTTCCGACCCACTTCGTGAAATAACCTGATCGAAAAGAATTCTACACAATCAAAACCTCGTGAAACGTTGAGTATGCTTGATTGTCCTTTTCTTCCCCCTTGTCCCATAATGTAAGTTTTGATGGGTTGCGTGCATTTGGCTTCAATGGTCAATGTACTCAAACACTCGTTGACATGATAAGAAAATGTTATAGTATCATGTAACTTACGAAAATTTCCTGCAAAAACAAAAGCGCATAAAAAATGTTAGTAGTTAAATCAATAAATTTAGAATCGTGAAAATATCAAATGAATCAAGTAAAGCAAGTTTTTATATATAACAAGTGAAAATATCCAAAGTTATTTTTGCACATTTTGTCTTAACATAGAAGTATCCCTGCTAGTGAGGAGCTTGGTATAGATGTATTAATTCCTTTTCTAATTTGCTTTAGTTTTAGCATAATGATATTTTGAATTTTTTTAACATTTTAACTCTGTCACTAAACATTGATTGATTCACATGGTCAAAATTAAAACAAAAAAAAAATGACATGAAAAATACAATTTAGGAGTTTCAACTTTGTAGTTTGTCTCATTTGGTTCAAAATTGCTTTCGGGGAAGTTGTTTTTGTTGTGCGAGTTCTTTGTCGGAGGTGTGCCTTGCGATGGATTTGAAGTTGGGTGTTGTTATCAAAGTTGGTTTTGGTTGTGGGTGTCGTCGTTCTCACCTTATGTTGGTTTCGAATTTGTGTGTCGTTATCGAAGTTGCTTTTGGTCGTGGGTGTCATTGTTTTCTCAATCATTGTGGTTGTGCCGTTCGTTGGCCATCGTGGTTGTGGTGTTGTGGGTGTGGGTGGGTTTTGTACTCTGGTTAAGGTATATGGGTCCTTTTTGTCAACGTCATTTTTTTTTGTTTTTTTTACTCTGTTTTTAATTTTTGGAATTCTTTATTTGTGTACTCTAAGTATTTTTGAAATGGATAAAGTTGGTGAACATAGTGAACCTGGTTTGTGTGACTATACTATAGTTCCAAATAGTTTAGGTTATTTTTGTATATGAATAAGAACAATATATTTTTATGCAGTTAGTTTAGACATTCTTACAACACAATTTGTAGGTGGTTTGAACTAAAGGATGAGTAGTAAACAAAAGAGTTATATTAAGAACACAACTTTTGGTTGGTTATTAGGATTGTCACAGTCTATTAAGATAAGTAGAAATTTTCTATTTGAATTATGATAGATGTAAGATCCAAAATAAATTCGATAAGATGACTTTTATTTTACATTTTTGGTTTCATCATTCCTAAAGTCCCTATTTAGATTGAGAATTTCAAATAAGTCCCTATTTGGGTTGAGAATGTCAAAGAGGTCCCTTAATTTTTTCTCGTCATAAATAGGTTCTTATTTTGGAAAATTAAGATTTATTCGAAGTTACTTTCACATAACTTGTCTATTCTTGTTGAGGTATCGAAAGCACACACATCTATTACAAGAGGACCAGGTCAGAAACTTAATCGCTAGGGAGTTTCTGGTGTTGCCGGGATTTCACTCAAAGAAGTGAATCAATTGTCCAAAATAAGGGATGTGCATGACTATGTTGACCAACTTTGTATAACCAAACATACATTGTTTGTGCCATGACTACATTGACCAACTTTGTATAACTAAACATACATTGTTTCTGCCATGACTAAATTGACCAACTTCACCAAAGTTGTCCATGTTAGTAATATTTTAAATATTATAGCATTTTCAGTTCCTAATTTTTTTTAAGGAACATAAAGTGGTCGGTCAATTAAGGCGTTATATTTTATCTTTTTAACTGCATAGAGGTTATGGAGCAATTACTAATTTAACATAAAGCCCATTTATTTTTAAAACCCTGTGATGACCAGATTTTATATAAAGGAATGAGTGACTCTCACTTTTGATCACTAAGCATACTCCTCTCTATTTAGAAAACACGTCATCTAGTTTGAGTGAGTTAAGGTTTAGAAAACAAAGCTGTGTTTGGATTTTAAAGCTGCAATGGCAGTATGTATGCATATTATAATTTTGATTTTTTTGCTTCCGCTGTTTTTAATATGGATATGTTATTATGATGTAAATATAACATGTTTAGATCAATTTTTATACTGCTTTTCTTTAGTCCATTTCAAAAATACCTAATGTTCAAGAAAAAAGGAGTCCAAAAATTAAAAACAGATAAAAAGAAAACCCAAAATGAAATGCTGAATAAAAAAGGACCTAATTACGTATACTAGAACACAAACACTACCAACATCGCAACCACGACAACCCATGAACGGTGCAACCATGGTGATTATTCCACAAAAAAGGACCCATAACCTCTACAAAAACACAAACCGTGACACCCACAACCAACGCACGACGACAAATGGGCACGACGACAAATTGACATGAATACCGTTGGTTCTAGCGATGGTGGTTGCAGTGACACACCTCCTCCCTTTCGCAAAGAATTCTCACCAAAAACCAACTTCGAAAAACAATTTTGAACCAAATAAGGGAAACCGCAAGATCGAAATTCATAAATTTGGATTTTTCATGTCATTTTTTTTTGTTTTAATTTCAGGGCATGTGGACCTTGGTTAACATGTAACGAAGTTAAAATGTAGAAAAGAAGAGTGAAAATATCATTGTCCTTAAAATTTTATAAGGTACAACATAATGACAAAGCAGGTCTTAAAAAAGCCAAACATTTAAAGAGCTTGAATTGCTGGATCCAAAACAAAATAGACCAATAATGATTAACTTTAGAAACACGCATAAATGAGTACACTACACCATTTAACAAACAGGTAGAGAAGTAAAGGAGGAAAGGCTATCCAAATTAATTTTCAATTCAGAAAGTTCAGTTTTCATTCAAATGCAAAGAATAAAAAATGTATGTTTTGATATAGCTACCTGCATTCCCTGCAATTTTGGCAAGGAAGTTAATAATTCATAATGCAAACTGAGATAAAAAAATGATTTTTTATAACCTAAACAAACTTTTTGCAGAGCAGAAGATCCATATGCAGTAAAAAGTCAAAACCAAAGTAAAAAGTCACTTGATAAACCATTTAATTACCTCTGCAATGCTTTCATTTCTGGTTATTCATTGAATGTAATAGCAGAGTCGCTTGGAATTTCCACAGATTCCTTCAAGTTTGCATTAAATATCCAAACCGGTTTCCATCCAAAAGAATGTAACTTGACCAAATTTTAGCAGTATCACTGTTGACAAAAAAAATTGACACTTGTGACTATGGTGGCTATCATGTAACAAGTAAGTACTAGACAATGAAGAGCGCATAAGGTAAACATTATGCACAGTGGAAGTAAAGTAAAAATGAGAAACGTTAGTCTCCAAGATTGGGTAAACAGTATGAACATAGTGACTTGGAAATATTATGGATTTCCATAAATTACAATATTGGAATTGTGATTATTTTTTTGTAAAATTAATTTTGATAGATGTATATTTATTTGGTTAAAATAATTTGTAATAATGTTTTTGGTATGTAATAAGCTAGAAAAATAAAGTTAAATAATAATATGATGGTTGGTGGAAATATTTGAAAAAAAATTAATGTAAAGTTAAAAATTAGTAACATAAATGTAAAACATTTAAGTTTATTTATAAAAATATCATTTAAAGAAAATACTAAAAATGTATAGGATTTTTTTAAAAAAAAATTATTTAGAAAAAATATATAAATTAAAAATTTAGCAAAACATAAAAATTCTTAATAGAATTTTATAAAAGTTTTAAAATTCAAAAATTCAAATTTAAATTTAAATTAGATAATTATTTGTTGAAGTTATAGTTATTTAAATTAAAGTTAAAAGTTAATTTCTCGTTCCCGTCCTCTTCTCCCAGACTATCTTCATTTCTCCATTTGCACTCACTCCTTCTCATTGTTCTTTTTTTTATTCTCATCTTCAGAGAACTTGTGCCCGTAACATTTATTTCTCTAACTGAACCCTAAAATCTCTTCCCCTCCTCCCCTGTTTGTTCTCCCCAATTTCGCAAGTAGGATCAGTGTAATTTGTGATTACTGTCGAAATCTCTCAAACTCAACTTGCACTGCTGAGTACGAAGCTTATTAGCTTCCAAAATCACTCCTTCCAAATCGAGTCCGCTTGTAAAGCACGAATCTTCAACTACAAGTTTCAAGGAGGTCGATGGTGGCGCTTAGGTTTCTACGTACCATTAATAAACTCTAAAAGTCGCCAAGTTTATGCAAATAATAATGGTTTTTACCTTAAATTGAGTATAGGGAAATATATGTTTACGTCGTGAAGTAGAACGACTAGGATAGATTCATTGGTCTTGCTCGAATTACATGCTTTTCTTCATCAGTGAAGAAAACCTACTCTATACACCAAACACGGATATTTTTTTTATTTTTTATTTTAAATGGAGCAACATAAATTTTTACTTTTCTCCAGCCTTCTCGATCTTGTGGTTCGAGTTATATAATATCATTTGCGAGTGAGTACATATTAGTAAAAGGGTATGAACATGACAAAAACAAAATTTTGTCCTCATAAATCTGTGAATCACCTTTGTTGTTATCAGTTATCCCAAACTATGCATTTCATTAATTAAGAAAAACACTGGCAAATTATTAGAACACTTAACAAGGTCA